GCTCCCTGCTCAGCGGGAAGCCTGCTTCTCCCTCTCACACTCCCCTTGCTTGTGTTCCCTCTCTCGCTGCCTCTCTCTCTGTCAAATAAATAAATAAAATCTTAAAAAAAAAAAAAAAAGAGTCAGATGCCCAACTGACTGAGTGAGCCACCCAGGTGTCCCAACATTTGTTATTCTCCATGTCCCAACTTCTCTCAGTTATTGTAATTTAACAAATGTGACACTGCCGTAGAAACAGGCCAAGATCAGTGATGTGGGGAGCACGGTTAGAAATGAATAGAGGCTGTTTTAGATGGGGCAGCCAAGGGATCACCCTCCATGGACACGACTTTTTGGCAGAGACTTGACCCTGGAGAAACAGCAAAGATCTGAGGACTGGGTGTTCTGGTCGACTGGACAATGAGGGACCAACTGGGTGTGTATTAGGAAGGGTAAGGGACCCCCCGCCCTTCCAGTCAGGGTGAGTGTGGGAAGAGTAGAGAAAATTTCAGAAGTATTGCTATTGTGGATTTCAGCCATTCCCCATTATACATCTTCCTAATTTCTTCCCAAAGACTGAGTTTTAATCACCCATATAGGGAGGGCACTATAAGTTTACGAAGTTACCATGTTATCTGCCTATGGTTTGAAGTTCCATGTTATCTACTTATGGTTCTGGTCTCTGAGCTTCCAGTAGAGCATGAAGGAGGTAGATTCAAGACCCAGGTTGGGACATGGGTGTCATCCATGGAGATTCTGCCCTGTCCATGCCCAGCTGGGCAAGGCTTTCGTATGCCATTGCATCCAGACACTCCAGGGATTGGTGCTGGGGGTATAGGAACATTCTTTCCAGTCCTGATGTTCTCCTCCAGTGATCCTTCATCTTGGGGCTGTTTCTGGCCCGCTCTAAGTTTGTTCTTGGATGAAACTATATGATTTTTTTGTTTTTGTTTTGTTGTGTTTGTGTTTGTGTTGTTGTTGTTGTTGTTTTGTCCTCAGCAATTTAAAGCAGATGTTCCTGGCCCTGGCTACACACTTAGAGCTTTTGACAAATGCCATTGCTCAGACCCCTCCTGGGTCTTACAGAGAGACACAGCGAGAGAGGGAACACAAACAGGGGGAGTGGGAGAGGGAGAAGAGAAGCAGGCTTCCTGCTGAGCAGGGAGCCCGATGCGGGGCTTGATTCCAGGACCCTGAGATCATGACCTGAGCCGAAGGCAGTCGCTTAACCGACTGAGCCACCCAGGTGCCCCCAGGTGGTCTTTTTTATGAGCTCCCAGGTGGCTCCACTGTGAAGACAGAGGTGAGGTCTGCTGGTTTAGATGGGGTAGGATCAAGAAAAGTTAGTAAGAACTCCACGTGGGGACTAGATCACTGCGCTAGATTCTCCTTTGTTTTCTGCGAGTGGAGGAGAGTGCAGCTTCACGGGTGAGTGTTCATCTGTTGAGAGTGAAGGTAATCTGGGAAAATTAGACACCTCAGGCTCAGAAGAAATAGTGGAGGCCTTATTCCAGGATATGAGCTAAGCTGAGGGAGGTTTTCAGTACTCAGGGAAGGATGCTTTCAACAGAGTGGCCCCTCTCCCCACCTGATACTTCCATCAACCCCACCTCACCCTCCACTTTTACCTGGTTGGTCTGCCTGCTCTCACCTTGCTCATGAATATGTCCCTCATCCCTCTTCAGGGGCATATTCTGACCCAGGACTACACTTGTAATGTTGTGCAACCATCCGCAAGCTCTGGTTCCAAACATTTTCAGCCCCCCAAAGAGAGACCCCATGCCCACCAAGAATCCCTCCCTAATTTCCCCTCCCCCAGCCTCTGGCAACCATTAGTCTGCTTTCTGTTTCTATAGATTGACCGGTTCTGGATATTTCATATAAACAGATAGAGCCAAGAATGCTTTAATGATTAAATCAATGGTGTAAGGTGCTTGATTCCAGCACACGTGCATTGCTTTAGGCCATGGTAGCTAGGACGACGAAAACATCTAACAGAGAAATACTGGCGCTGTCTCTGAATTAAGCCTAGTTCTGACTCCGGTAGATGGTTTCACAGTATCCTCCTGGTGGGGTTAGTACCAAGCTCTTCGTGTCCATGCAGAGGGCAGAGGAGGCAGGAGAACAGGGAACATGGAAAGACAGTCTAACGCTTACCAGTTTGTCAATCAAGGATGTAGGAGAAGCCATCGACAGGTATGATGAAGAAGAATTCCATGTTTCCATATTCATTGGATGTAAAAACGATGTTCTGGAGAAGAAACAGATCCTGGGTCTGTTTGCAGTAATTGGGCAATAATTACTGGCTGGCTTCTCCTCAGGTCTCCTCGGCTGTACAAAAGGAACGGTCCCCTTAACTTTCTTCTCTGACTCCTAACCTCCCTTCTCCCTTCTCCCTTTCTAGATAAATGTTTCCATGTTGAAGAGGCTCCTCCTCTGTCTTTCAGGATAGTTAGCCAACTGGTGGAACTGTCCCAAGTTGATGTATGCAGATGTCCTCAAAGTGGAGGGGGACGGTGGCCAAGCTACTGTCAAGCTCGTCCCGCAAAGGGAGGAGATGAGAGAGTCAGTGACCACCATGTCCTGGCCCCCAGAACCCCCAGGCCTGCCCCTTCTAGATGTTTGCTGGTCAGCTCGGAGACACAGACCCGCATGTTCAGCCTTTACACGAAGCTGTTGCCTGTGTCTGCAGGAAGCTATGGTTTGTCACATGTCTTTGAGGAACTGTCATCAGTGTGGCGATGAGAATTCTAATTCAGCTTAGGCCAAGAAGAGATCGTTGTACTTTTAATGTGCCATTGGCTATTTTACATTACAATTTGTTGACTCTTTTATTTGTCCCACTGTGCATTCGTGTTATGCAAACCTTGATGAAGCATTTGAATATTAAGCAACTTGAAAGTGCTTCCTATGAAACCCTCTGATTAAGTTGGGCTCTGGCCAGAGCACAGTGAAATGGTGAGTGTACCGTCATCTGTGACTGAGATTATGTCAAAGTAACCACTTCAAGCTCTCAAATCAGATTGGATTTTGTGTTCAAAGACTCAGGGTCTAGGGTGGGAGCTGTAGGAACCAGGTCTTCCCAAGTCAAGTTTGTGCAATTGAGTTCATGAAGAATGTACATCCAGAACATCACCCTACTTGGTTCCAGAGGGATGTCATCGACATGTTCCTCACATTACAGCTTTGTGTCATCCACGAGAATTCTCTTCCATAAGTTAACTCAGTGCACTGAGAAAAGGGTTGGCTAGGAGAGAATCAGGGTAGAATCTAATGATGTGGGTAATAATGCTTAGTGCTAATTAATGACCCCTCTCAGACAGCCATCTGGCCACTCTCCCTTGTCAGGAAAAACCATCCCTCCCTCTTAAAATCCACAGCCTCCCATCCCCTCTGCTGCCTCCGGTCACCCAATATCTAGGGGCCATCCCCCAGCCTGTAAAACGTACCTCAAGGGTCCACTAGAAACCCTGTAGTTTTCCATTTAGTGAAGGCCGTAATAACAGATAAGTGCCATCTTTCAACTTCATTTTTTTATAAAAGGGTAGGAACCTACCAGAAATCAAGCCAAAAGATTCAGAACATGAATATAATTTATGGTCATTTTCAGATTGCTCTATTACCTTAGTTTTGTCTGAAGTGAGTCCCATCTCCTCACGGTTGATTGTCTTATCTGTCTAGCCTTAGGTTTTGTGTGTGTGTTATGGAATTTTAGCACGCATGTTTATCTTAACAGCGTAATCTCCCAGCTCTTGACCTACACCACGCATGTACACACACACATGCATCACACACACACATCACACTACACACCACAAATACACCACATCACACCCACATACCACACACAAACACACCCCTCTCTCTCCTCTGCCATCTGTTTCACTTCCTCTTGTTCCCCATGGCCTGTGTCACCAGCGGAGAGTCCCCATCCCTGGTTGGACTGAGCCCCACACTCCAGCCCCCCAGGCTCTGTATTCCGGGTCCTTCCAGGCCCTGCTCGCCCCCAGCTTGGAGCCCTGCACAGCTTTTTCCTGCTCTTGCCCCACGTGCAGCAGGACAGAGCCTTCAGCAGCCCTCAGCCTTGACATCCTTGTTCTCTCCAGCCCAGGGATTAGCTCATTTTCGAGGATGTGTCTGTTTTGCGATGAAGTTTTCCTTCTTGAGGCTTGTACTTGGTGGTGCGGCAGGGGGGAGGATGGCCTTTCTGAGCGTGAATCACATCATGAATCAGTGAGATTAGATTAGATCTAGTGCTTGCAAAGAGAAACACAGTTGATCCTCGCTTTGGGGTTCCATATTTTCGAGCTCCCTACTGTCTAAAGTATACCTGTAACCCCGAAATCGGGACTCACTGTGCCATTGTGTGGTCATTCACAGACCTGCCCTGAGCCGTGAAAATTTAGAATTGCCCGATGCACATGTGGCTCGCTGAGGCCCAGCAAGATGACACCTGCCTACCTGTTCCAGCTCATGTTGTGAACAAGTGTCCTTTCTGTGGTCTATATAGTCCTAGGTTTTTTGCTTTTTTTTTTTTTTTTTTTTTTGCCTTTTGTTGGTGACCTCGCTGTTTTAAATCCTCCCAGTGATGGTGCTGAAGTGCAGTCTGGCGTTCCTAAGCACCAGAACGCTGTGATGTGTCTTACGGAGAAAACACGCGTTAGATAAGCTTCCTTCAGGCAGTGCTGGCTGTGAGCTCAATGTCAGTGAATCAGCAATACATATTAATAAGATGTCTTCAAACAGAAACACACGTAAAGTGAGGTTATGCCACGATTGATGAAAATACTGGGACCAGAGGCCCAAAGGAACCTAACTCCGTATTTCCCCGGGAGCAGTGGTTTGCTAATTCAGTGTTCTCAGAACATTCTAGAACTTCAGTACCGCCAGTGACGGGAAAGGACTGTATTTTCGTGAGAGGACGTGGAAGCCCTCCCCAGAGCAGGTCACAGGAGACGCGCCGGGCAGCCCCTTCTTCCAGCCCGCACTCAGCTTTGTTCTGTGACCGCTCTCCTCTGCAGGCTACTTTCTGAACTTTCTGGAGCCAGTGAACAACATCACCATAGTCCAAGGCCAGACGGCCATTCTGCACTGCAAGGTGGCCGGAAACCCCACCCCCACCGTGCGGTGGCTGAAGAACGACGCCCCCGTGGTGCAGGAACCCCGGCGCGTCATCATCCGCAAGACGGAATACGGTTCCCGGCTGCGAATCCAAGATCTGGACACGACGGACACCGGCTACTACCAGTGCGTGGCCACCAACGGTGTGAAGACCATCACCGCCACTGGCGTCCTGTTCGTGCGGCTCGGTGAGTCGGGGCCGCCCAGGCGTGCGGTTAGCACATGGCAACGCTCCCGGCCCCGGGACAGGAGATCAGTGTGCACTTTGAAAGTGAACACGCCCAAGGCCGCAGGAAGGAAACCACTAAAACCATTCCCCGAGGCCTCTCGCATTGTGCACGAGCTCCCGGCTTAACCTGATCCCCATTTACTAGTCATAAAAGAAAATAGGCACACATGGAGTGGTCTGGAAACCTGGAGTGCAGAAAATAACCCCAGACGCAAAGGTGAGCTTCGAGGCTGAGGGGGACGGTCGCGTGGCAGGAGGTGGCCCCCCGGAGAGGCCGGCCGCGCTGAGGGAGACAGGCAGTTGCTGGGCACAGAGGCCTGGGCCCCGCTGGGACCAAGGGCCGGAGCAGGGTGCGGTGACGGTCCCCCCCGCGTGCGCTCGGCCCAGGTGGCCACGGGGAGCCACGCGTCGGCTCTCGTCCCAGTGGCGAGATGGTCTCCGCGCTGCCCCAGCCCCGCCACACAGGCTCCAGACCGTTCGGGCCCCAGCTGGGAAATAGATCTTGTGAATCAAGGTTAGATGAGGAGAGAGCAAGAAAAATACCCCCAAACGTTTCTGCATAAACAGAGAGCGCGCCCCTTCCACATTTCGTGGCTTTCGCCACCCCTGGCGTATGATCTCAGGCAACAGCAGAGCCTGGCCGGAGGGCGGCTCCCCACAAATGAGCACACGGGGCTGAGGCCGCCTTTGCCATCGGGGGCATTGGAAAAAAGTTTGATTCCAAATTGTGAAGTATTAATAACCTGTCTTTTTTTTTCCTTTTTAGGTCCAACACACAGCCCAAATCATAACTTTCAGTAAGTATCTGTTTCCCTCAAACCATTTTCTCATTCCCCGAGGGTTTCCGTTATGGAAGAATCCAGGATTGAAATCCAGCAACGACATGTCTTTGCCGAATTTGCTGGACGTTGACTGGACTTCACACAAGGATGGCAACGTGCTTGCTCTCGGCTTGGGCCACCGCTGGAGTTTCCATGGCTTCGCGTCAGTGAGAAATGTCATGGGGGTAGTGGTTGCTAGTTCCTTTCGGTGATCGTGACCTCACAAGGCAGCTGGAAGGGGTCTGGACGCACAGGCCAAGTTGCTGGGGACACCAGGGTCCTGGAAACAGGGAGGCGCTTCTCACCGAAATCCCAGCACCACCCACAACCGCACCACCAGCCGCCAGTCTATGACGGGTGTGGCCACGGAGCCTCAGGGCGTCCTCCAGTGTAGGCGGGTGCCAGACCCCCCTTCGGAGGTGAGGACACTGAAGCTCCAAGCCTGGCTTGTGCATCTTCATCAAGCCATGGCTGGGTCCTGGCTGTGAACCCAGGTGTCTTTTCCCTGTTACCTCATCTCTCCAGGTACCCGTCCATTTGGGGAGATTCTCCTCTGGACCCTATACGTTCTGTCATCCTATGCCCGAGAACCACTCTCTTTGGGCTTGTGTTTGAGGTTAGCAGGGGCTCCTGGGCTCCCCATGTCTTGTCCAGACAGATCAGAGAGCCATTGCTTCACCTCCAAATGTTGTGAACAGTGACACATACTACGTGTTGGTGAGCGTTTGCTCTTCTGTGGCCCCCCAGCTTCTCGTCAGCACTGGCCACTGGGGTGGGTGTGTGGACAGGGGCCCAGAAGCATACACTGGGCACCATTTGCAGAAGGTAGATTTTTTTTTATTCTTATGTTAATCCCCATACATTACATCATTAGTTTTAGATGTAGTGTTCCATGATTCATTGTTTGTGCATAACACCCAGTGCTCCATGCAGAATGTGCCCTCCTCAATACCCACCACCAGGCTAACCCATCCTCCCACCCCCCTCCCCTCTAGAACCCTGTTTGTTTTTCAGAGTCCATCGTCTGTCATGGTTCGTCTACCCCTCCGATTCCCCCCCTTCATTCTTCCCCTCCCGCTACCTTCTTCTTCTTCCTTTTTTTTTTTTCTTAACATACATTGCATTATTCGTTTCAGAGGTACAGATCTGAGATCCAACAGTCTTGCACAATTCACAGCGCTTACCAGAGCACATACCCTCCCCAGTGTCCATCATCCAGTCACCCCATCCCTCCCACCCCACCCCCCACTCCAACAACCCTCAGTTTGATTCCTGCGATTAAGAATTCCTCATATCAGTGAGATCATATGATACATGTCTTTCTCTGTTTGACTTATTTCACTCAACATAATACCCTCCAGTTCCATCCACGTTGTTGCAAATGGCAAGATCTCATTCCTTTTGATGGCTGCATAATATTCCATTGTATATATATACCACCTCTTCTTTATCCATTCATCTGTCGATGGACATGCAGAAGGTAGATTTTTGAGAACATCCTATGCTGAGCGGTATTGTCAAAGCATTTGTCCTTAACAATCGTTTGTGCGTAGAGCGAGGCAGGGGGAAATTGTATCAAGACCACAGCTAGGAGGCTTTGGAAAAGGTGTCCATGATTTCAAAAGTTGACCTATTTTATTTTTTCATACTTAGACATCTTACATATATAAATATTATATAATATAGATGTGCAATACTGGAAAAACAGGTAAATATAATTTATGTGTAGTAGAATGTAATTTATTAAATATGTAAATATCAACTCTATTTGCATATTTAAATTTTATATAAAAACTCAGCAATATTTTTGCATTTGTTTTCTTCTGGTTTTTAATTAAGGATTCAGTCAACACATTCCCATCTATCATTCGGGCCGTTCTGGTAAAGTGAAACTTTCCGCATCCCGTCCCCGAGGCTTGTGCCCTGGGACTGCCTCCATGGTCTGGTGGGAGTGCTGGGGCAGGACCTCTCTCCGAGTCTAGCACGTGTATGTACCTGGAGAGATAGCCCGTCCCACTGCTGTTCACTTTCTTACCCAAGGGATATTATACTTGACAAGTCTGATGAGCGGGGTGTCTGCATATTTTAAATTCCCCTGATTGTCTTTCTCCCTGTCTCTGTCCCACAATGACGAGAATTTCCCTTGTCCCACGTCCTCCCTGGCCACCCTGTGTGTGTCCCAAGATGGGTGTTCGTTTCTCTAGGGGAGATTCGGAAGAATAGACTTGCAGAGGCAAGGGATGCACCTTCTTTTTAAAAATTTTTATTGTTATGTTAATCACCATACATTACATCATTAGTTTTAGATGTAGTGTTCCATGATTCATTGTTTGTGCATAACACCCAGCGCTCCATGCAGAACGTGCCCTTCTCAATACCCATCACCAGGCTAACCCATCCTCCCACCCCCCTCCCCTCTAGAACCCTCAGTTTGTTTTTCAGAGTCCATCGTCTCTCATGGTTCGTCTACCCCTCCGATTCCCCCCCTTCATTCTTCCCCTCCTGCTATCTTCTTTTTTTTTTTTTTCTTAACATATATTGCATTATTTGTTTCAGAGGTACAGGTCTGTGATTCAACAGTCTTGCACACTTCACAGTGCTCACCATAGCACATACCCTCCCCAAAGTCTATCACCCAGCCACCCCATACCTCCCACCCCACCACTCCAGCAACCCTCAGTTTGTTTCCTGAGATTAAGAATTTGTCATTTCAGTGAGGTCATATGATACATGTCTTTCTCTGATTGACTTATTTCACTCAACATAATACCCTCGAGTTCCATCTACGTCGTTGCAAATGGCAAGATCTCATTCCTTTTGATGGCTGCATAATATTCCATGGTATATATATACCACATCTTCTTTATCCATTCATCTGTCGATGGGCATCTTGGCTCTTTCCACAGTTTGGCTATTGTGGACATTGCTGCTATAAACATCGGGGTGCACGTACCCCTTCGGATCCCTACTTTTGTATCTTTGGGGTAAATACCCAGTAGTGCAATTGCTGGATCATATGGTAGCTCTATTTTCAACTTTTTGAGGAGCCTCCATACTGTTTTCCAGAAGGGATGCACCTTTTTTATAAGCGATCCCACCCCAGAGGCACGCACGGGTTGCTTCCTTGCCACGTGAGGACCCGTTTCTCCTTAACTTCTAAGGTGATTACCAAATATGTTCATGTTTGCCATTCTGAAGAGGAAAGCCCAGAGTGGCCACTTTATTCTCCCTGCCCTGCCACCAGGCGTGCTTGCTCGCCGATGGACGTTTCTTGACACTCCTGGTTCCTCTTTGTCAACTGTCTCTTCATAGTTTTTGCCTACTGCCCTAACATTGTTCCTTACTGGTTTTTAGTAATTATTTATCTCATGTCTTGATCATACAGAAATTAAAATTTTTCTCTCGTTAATCAGTAGTCACCAATAGTTGTATGGTTTTTGTGCTGTGTCTTGTGAAAGAACACCCTAATTTCCTTGAAAAATTCTGATGGTATTTTGATTGGAATTATAATGAATTTTAAGGTAAAGTTGGTGAAAATTAACATCTAAATTGAATTGCCTGCCAAGGACCACTTTCTTTGAACTTTTCTTTTTCTCCTCAACATTTTTTTTTAATTTTATTTATTTGACAGAGAGAGAGAGATAGCAAGTCCAAGAGCGGGAGGGAGGGCAGAGGGAGAGGGAGAAGCAGACTCCCCGCTGAGCAGGGAGCTCGATATGGGACTCGATCCCAGGACCCCGGGATCATGACCTGAGCCGAAGGCAGACGCTTAAGCGACTGAGCTGTCCAGGCGCCCGAGATCTTTTTTAATACAATACTATCACTTTCCCTCTAAGTGCCACCCAGGCGCCCCCTACCTTCTTTTTAATTGCATTTGCTAGGAACCTCTTTTACTGTTCTTGTCTCACCTTTTTTTTTTTTTTTTTTTCCAACCTTTCTGTGTTGCTTTATGCAGGTGTCTTGTAAATAGCATGTAAGTACACTTTTTTGGAGGTTGGTGAGGAGGGTTTTCCGTTCTGGAAGTGCAGGGTGTAGTGTGTGTAAGTTAAGTTCATTTTATTTTTATTTTTTATTTTATTTATTTTTATTACGTTAGTCACCATACAGTACATCGTTAGTTTTTGATGTAGTGTTCCACGATTCATTGTTTGCGTATAACACCCAGTGCTCATTTTAACAAATGTACAAGATTCATTCTGAGTCAACCCCTCTTTAATCGGCCTTGTGCCTACTGAGTGAAGGTTAGTTGTTTCAACTGGTGCAGACCATCTTGCGGGAACATCTGTCCCTGTCTCCCTGTCCCTGTGGGCGTGAGTCCTCCGGTGGCCACGATCTGGGAGTGGAATTGTAGATGTACACCTCCCACAACTCCAGGTACGGCCAGGCGCCTAAGGAACCTCCCAAGTGGCTAAGGAACTCCTGGTCCGTCCAGCAAAGCACGAGTTCTTATTTCCCCACATCTTCCAGCACGGATTATCAGAACCTAACATTTTGCCCATGTCTTGGGTGTCAAATAGTAATGTAGAGCAATTTTACATTATATCTCACTTCTCTAGTAAATAGAGAAGTTGAACATGTTTTGTTGGCTTAATAGCCACTGAATTGCCCGTCCATATGCAGTCTGTCTCTTTATTTGCAGATTCCGCGTTTGCACGTTTTCTTACTCGCTAAAATTTCCTTGTAACTCCGAATCGGTCCTCAGGCTGTTTTTGCTGTCACTCATGGACATGGGCAGAGCAGTGAAACATGGTTGTCGCTCACGCACACGTTACAGCTGAGGTCTGTGTTCTTGTCTCAGCTACCGCACGGCAAACACTGTGTTTTCACAGCCGGTTCGCATTTTGTGCTTTCCGTGGGTGATTTCGCCGTGTAGGACGGCCCTGAGCACAGCGCTGAAGTGCTCTCTAGAGTTCCTGAGCACCAGAAAGCTGGCATGGGCCCCATGGAGAAAACTCGTGTGTTAGATAAGCTTCCTT